TTCCATCTGCTGGCTCTGCCTTCCTTCAGCCTTCGTCCTCCTGCACTGGGGTGTTTCACAGTTCTGGATATGTGAGAGGCATCTTAGCCAATGTCTAGTCTGCTAGGATGACGATGAGCCAGAGGCAAAAAGTGCAATTGTGGTGTTTTCAGCAGTGGTATGTCACAAACTGCCTCCAAATAACAGTTTGAAGACTCGAGGCCCATCCAACTGCTTTCTTCAGTGACTTGTCACTTTGGGCGGTTCATTACTCAAGAAGTGAAATCTCCAAAATTAAGAACAGTCATATTGCCCATTTGGTACCATTCCTTCTCTAGGAAGGTTGATCTTGCAGTTGCCATTAAATAGTGGTTCAGCCACAGCCCCTTACACAAACTATATGTATTTTAAAGCGAGCTGGGAATAGCTCGATTAGAAACCAGTTGTTACACAACCAACAGATGATCCCAGTTCTTTGAAGCCAGGTTGTGCCTTACGATTTGGCCAGCAGCGTTCACCTAGCTGAACTGAACTGGTTAATCTAGTAGCTTAGTAATTACGTGGAGTATCTGATTGATATTCCCTGCCATTATGCCTGCAACATCCTTTTCCTGCTCTGAAAGCCGGAGATATAATCCTGCTGGCAGAGCAGGCTGAGGAATTTACACCCACTCAGATTCTGCTTTCTTCATAACATTTCTCTCTTCAAATTCTGGGGAGTCTTTATATTCTTACGAAATGCCGTTGTTCTCTATTTTACCAAGTGGTCATGTCATCCAAAAAACTTCATTAAGACTTTTAAGGATGTTTGAACTTTATTGACAAAGTAAATTAATTATCAATGCATAATTTAAATGCTAAATTGTGGCTGGTGTCTATCCTATCTTGTGCAGAACCAATAATCTTAACAAGAGCGGCACAACCAAGGAGATGAGTGTGTTTTCAAATACCTCTATTACTGTTCATATTCTCATTTACTCTTCTCTTGCGAAAGCCCCAGAGATGAATTGTTAGAAAGACTAGAAATGAATAAATGGGGGTGAAACATTCCAGGAATGCTGTGGGCCAGGCTGCGGATTGGAACCCAGAGGACAGAGGCTGAAAGGGCAGCCCAATCCATATTTTTGGAAAATAAGGAATGCCTCTTGCTAGATATCAGGGCAAGTTGAGGGCTGGGGAGGTTAGTTCAGGTCAGTCGCTGCCCACCATGTGAGGATGTTTTCTGGACTGCAATCGCCCTCATTGCGAATTCTGATTATGCAACTCAGTTATTTATTCAGTTTCAAGCAATACTGTGATGGAAATTAATGAGAACTGTTGGTATTCAATCCCTTATTAATACTGATAGCTAACTTAAAATGCATTTGACTGGGAGCAGCGAGGGGCTGATGTTCTGGGCATTCATACAAGAAAAGATCCCAAATGCCTCCAGGCCTTGCTGTAATTCAGTGCAAGCGTGTGGAATTTTAGCACGGGGAAACTTGCTCTGTTTTCTTTTGTTTCTATCCCATCCCTGGGAGTCTGACTAAGAGTGAAGTGGTCATTGCTTCCTATTGCCCAGCAGGTCTCATCTTTTCAGCTTTTGTGCTTAAGAGAGGGGGAGGTTGGTAGGACTGTTCAACAAGACGGGACAGAACGTGCATCCATTCAAGTTCTTGCTGCGAAGCACTAAGTACATGGAAAGTGTATGAAACAAAGCGTCAGGTTTTAAGTTCAGAAGTTCTTCAAGGGTAATCCCCTATAAAGCTGTTCCATTGGAGTCAGTGGATTTTTTTCTGTACCCCTTGCTCACCTGAAATAAATGCCTAGTTCCTAAGTCTTTAAAAGCATGAAAAAGATCCCAAGTGACAATAGCCTAAAAAAAAACCAACTGTCCCCTGGGGACATACCATTCTGGTTTGCACGCAGTCCATGCTAAACACATTGTAGATACTAAAGGAAGTGTCACAATTTTTTCTTTGTCAGTCTAAAGAGCAGGCAGCTGGTGCTGCTGGATACTCTGTGGTCTGAATATTGACTTTGAGAAAACCAGTAATTGTGACCTCTAAGTTAGGTGCTCCAGCGATGTGTCTGAATATGCTGGTCTATAGCAACTGTATTTGAGAAAGCTCCCTCTAAAACACGTACTGCAGAAGTTATGCTCAAGAGAAGAAGTATTTCCACGTATTTATAGAGATCTTAAGGCACTTCGTAATGACAGGGAAGATAATAATAATCCAAAAATAGAGATATAAATATTGAAGCTCAAAAAGTTATACAAGAAGTCACTAAGTCAGTATTAGAGACCAGACCACAGCTCTCGGCTTCCGCGGTGCTTCCACTTGTTTCCAAATGCTGCTGCCTTTTGGCTTTGCAGTAGTTTTCCACTGCTGACAAGATGGGAAACTAGGGAAAATGTGTCCAGACCTGCCTGTAATCAGGAAGATGAGGTTAATGTATGAAACAAAAGGGCATTAAACTCTCAAGTAGGGATTTTCATTCAGAAATAAGCTGGCCCTAATTTATTTTAGTGCAGTATAAATGAAGACGCATTAATTTTGTACTGTTATTTGAGTTATCTGAACTTTCACTGTGTTACTGTGTAGAAAAGCTTCGAATGAATTTGTACCCTGGAGCCTTCTGTGTTTTGATCTCGCAATAGTCAGAAACATGTTTTTCCTGTGTTTTCAAGTGACAGAGAGGAAAATGTGGTCGGAGGCTGGGAGATGGCCAGCTTGCCTCCAGCAGCAGCCGTGGGAGCACAGGTACTGGTGGCATGTTGGGAGCTACACAGATGAGCGTTAGCAAAGAGCACTACCTTCTGATTCATAAAACACATGAATCAGGAGGAGCGTGTGCCCGGGGAAAGCATCCCGAGCCTTATTCACATCCCCCCGTTGCGAAGCCCGTAACCGCTCGTCCCGAACGATGCTTCCTGCTTGGAATTCAGGGCCGCTGCTTGTACGTGATGCAGGGTTAATGCAAAAGGTGGGAAACAGGGGGCTGCCAGGACATAAATAATTAAAGTGTGGTGAGAATTAGCATCATGTATATCCTGCATGAGGCATCATACCCAACACTTACTCCAATCCCCTGTAGGCTGTTGGTAACACTCCCAGGGTTGACCGTGCAGACGTCAGAAATGGGGGCAGACTGGAAACACTGAGGGCACCTACAACATTATTTTGTCCCTTCGACATAGGAGATGGCGCCATGGGAGCCAAACTGTGCAAGGGAAGATTTCAAAGGGACTATATTTCCCACTATAGAGAAAAGAGTGTTTGGACGAGACTTTCTTTGTTAGGTACTTTGCTGTCACTGGAAGAGGCCATGCTCATAATAGCAAGGCAGAGTTGAAGGCAAGCCTGGGTCTGCTGGACTCCTGGCAATGCCCAGGGCTGGGA